ATCGAAAGAGGCGCCCCACAATGTTCTATGTTGAGTAATATTGCCGCAACATGATTTAAGGATAATTGATTTAAAATTTTAAACAGCAAAAACAGAACAGAAAAAATTAAATGAGTTTATGATTGATATCAAATTTTGATATTGTGACGAAAATCTGATTAAATTCTTTTCATTCTTCACTCTCGCTGGTGTGTTGGTGCGCTACGATAGAGCTGTGATGAATATATCCGATATATCCCTGTGTACACCTTCATTGAAAGGTGAACACAACGGGAATGACTTGTTTAGTTCAATATCACGAAGAAGTTTAGTGAATCTGTCGGACAGCCTTAGATTGACTTACAAATGTTGCATTTAGTAGGGTAAAGAGGGTAGTGGTCATAGGATGGTCAATAAGTAAGCAAAGGTTTTGGGCTGGAGAGTCTGAATTAAATATTTAAACAAAAAATAGTTTTTTTGCCTGTAGGGGTAATCAAGAAGTCATTAGACTAATGGAGAAGGTGGTTGTTGTTCGTCCATCTAAATCGACTAGGACCATCGAGTCATCCGGTTTGGGGGGAGGGTGGGTTACAATGATTTCGACTGTGGCTTGCTAGACCAATCCGTGCTCGGAATCTCTGGCATCGTGGGCAGGGGATAGTTGTTGCAGTCGGTGATCTAATGTTGCTCTTTCGAGCCAGCCTGCGTGTCTCAGCTGTGGTTATCCTACTGGCTTCATGAGATTTAGCCCCCTTCTTGACATCTGCTCTCCACCTGGCTCTGACCTGGGCCGTCTGCACCCATTGAGTAGGGTTGGTGCTGAGGGCCTTGGTGTTGTTTTCAGTGAGTCTTTAAACGCTTTTTTTAAAACTCCTTGGGAGCGCTTGCCTATTGTGAGTTTTCCGAAGAATATCTGCTTTGGTAGCCCGTGGTCTTCCATGCGGCTACATGTCCCATCCAAGGGAGTTGAGACTGTATCAGGGTGGTGAGGATACTAGGTAGATTCACTCTAGTAAGAACCTCTGTGTCAGGAACTTTGTCTTGCCACCTGATGGCCGAGGAGTTTCTGAGGCATGTTATGTGAAAATGGTTCAATTTCTTGGCGTGACGCTGGTAGATTGTCCACGTTTCACATCCGTAGAGCAATGTCGAGAGGACTGCTGCGTTATATACCTTGATCTTTGTTTCACGTCTGATACCTCTCCTGTCCCAAGCAATGCTGCGGAGCCTGCCAAATACGGCAAATGCTTTAGCGAGCCTGAAATTCATTTCATCATCCATGACGACAGATCTGACGAGGGTGCTGCCCAAGTAAGTAAATTTATCCAGCGGGCTGAGACGCTGTCCGCTGATGAGGATAATGGGTCCAACGTAGACCTCACTAGGAGATAGCTGATACATCACCTTAGTCTTCTTTGTGTTGATTGTGAGGCCAAAGTAATTGCAGGACTTAGAGAAGACATCAACGCTGTGTTGCATGATGGCTTCGGAGGCAGCGTTGAGGGCACAATCGTCCGTAAAAAGAAGCTCGTTGATGGTGTTATGTTCGTCCTAGGTTTTAGCTTGAAACCTAATAGGTTGAAGACTGATCCATCAGTGTGAAACCAGATTGGCAAGCCCGTGGTGGAGTCATTGAACTCATCAGACAGCATTGCAGAATACATAATACTGAAGAGTGTGGGAGCCAGGACACGGCGCTGCTTAACACCGTTTGTGACGGGGAATGCTTTAGGTGACTGACCGTTGTCCTGCACTTGGGCCATCATGCCATCATGCACCTGACGGATGATGTTGTTGAAATTATCTGGGTATCCGTAATTCTTCATGATTTTCCACAGGCCATCTCTATTGAACCTGTCAAAAGCCTTATTCAAGTCGATAAATGTGGAGTATAGGTCTGTATTTTGCTCCTGACATTTCTCTTGAAGCTGTCTAGCAGCAACCACTATATCGATAGTTCCGCGTTTTTTGCGGAAACCGCATTGACTTTCGGGTAGGAGACTTGGCTCCAGATCTGCATTCAGGCGGTTTAGAAGGGCTCGGGCCAAGATCTTGCCTGAGATGGACAGCTGTGAAATTCCGCTGCGATTGTCGCAGGCCTGGCGGTTTCCTTAGTGTTTGTACAGGTATCGAGGCATCCTTGAAGTCTTGTGGTACAGTTTCCGTCTGCCAGATGATCTGGAATAGATGCAATAGCTTATCCGTCAGCGCTGATCCCCTCCCTTTGTAGATTTCGGCAGGAATCGTGTCGGAGCCAGCTACTTTGCCATTGGACATTTCACGGATTGCTGTCTGTATCTCGACCAAAGATGGGACAGCGTCCAGTGACTTGTTCGTTGGGAACTGGGGCAGTCTTTCAATGGCCTCATCATTAATGATGGAAGGCGTAAAGAGCACACTATTAAAGTGTTTCGCCCATCTTTCCAAGGTTTTCTCCTTTTCTTTATGAGTATAGAACCGTCTTCACTAAGGAGAAGGGAAGAGCCTGAGGTGGTAAATCCATAGATTTCTCTCAGAAGTTTTTCATATCTTGCTTGTCTGCTAAGCCCTGAATTTCATCAGCTTTCGAACTCAACCAGGAGCCTTGCATCTGGCGCAGTTGCAACTGGACCTTGCTGCGGATGCTCCTCAGTGCAGCTGTCTTTGTTATTGACATTGGGTCATCCTGGAGGTCCTTATAAGTCCGACATTTTTCAAAAATTAGTATTTGGATCGCTGTGTTGTTTTCGTCAAACCAATCGTGTTTCCTGGAAGAGAGTCCGAGGCGCTAAGCGGCTATGCTACAGGAGGAGGTAAAATAATAAAGAAGAGATTATAGGGAAAAAGGCAAAGCATTATTCGGAAGGAGCAGTGGGTGTAGAGTAAAGAATAAGAAAAGGGTAAGTTGAATACATTGAATAATAAGGGTTGATGTAGGGAGCTAAGATGGAGAGGGCAAGGTGAAGGGTGGGAGGATAGTGGCTTTGGGAAAAAGTGGGGATGAGAAGGATTAGGTTAATGGGCAGGATAATGGGGATGGGAAGGATAATTTGAGATGGGGGGCATAGTTGAGAGTTTGGGAAGAGGACAGGAGTGAAATAATAAAGTGTAATTAGTAAACCTACTACATTCCCCCGTAATGACCATGATTTAGGTCCTGACAACGCCGCTAACGTTATTATGGACGACATCGTTATGATTGGCTGTGGAGGCACTGGTGCCTACTGGTGCCTGCTGGTGCCTACTGGTGCCTGCTGGTGCCTACTGGTGCATACTGGTGCCTACTGATGCCTTATAATGCCTACTGGTGCCTACTGGTGCCTACTGGTGCCTACTAGTGCTTACTGGTGTCTACTGCTGACAACAAAAACAACTTGGCTGTAGAGGCACTGGTGCCTACTGCTGACAACAACAACGTGGCTGGGGAGGCACTGGTGCCCACTGTTGACAACAACAACAACGTGGCTGTGGAGGCACTGGTGCCTACTGGTGCCTAATGGTGTCTACTGGTGCCTACTGGTACCTACTATTGCTTACTGGTGTCTACTGCTGACAACAACAACAACGTGGCTGGGGAGGCACTGGTGCCTACTGCTGACAACAACAACAACGTTGCTGGGGAGGCACTGGTGCCTACAGCTGACAACAACAACAACGTGGCTGGGGAGGCACTGGTGCCTACTGCTGACAACAACAACAACGTTGCTGGGGAGGCACTGGTGCCTACAGCTGAAAACAACAACAACGTGGCGGGGGAGGCACTGGTGCCTACTGCTGACAACAACAACAACGTGGCTGGGGAAGCACTGGTGCCCACTGCTGAAAACAACAACAACTTAGCTGGGGAGGCACTGGTGCCTACAGCTGACAACAACAACGACGACAATAGTAAGTGATATCCAAACATTTATTGGTGTTAATAAGACAAATAAAAGATACAAAAAAGCTAATTTTGAGCAAAAAGTTAACTTTAAACATTCTCAGAAGTTAATTCAATAACCGGAAGGAAAACTGTAGGTTTTATAAAACTTTGTGAGAACCCTTGTGTTTAAGTCCATCTGTAACACGTCAATAATGACTCATCTGGTGTGCGACTGTAAGACACGCAACAAAAGATTAATTATACAAAAACTCTATTGAGAGAAGCTAAGGAAAGCGGGAAGAACAATTTAATTAAAAATGATGCAGCTTCTCTTTTGTTTTTTTCACTTTCCATGGTATACCATAAAAAATATATAACAATAAAGGTATCGAAAGATAACAAGATAATGACATGATCCATCCTTGGACATAATGCAAATGTTCCTTTTGTCTTTTACATGTTTGGTGTTTCGTACTATTGAATTTACCTACTCACCACCTCTTTCCCTCTCTCTCCTTCTCTCTCTTTCTCATTCCCTCCCCTCTTCTCTCTCTCTCTTTCTCTCCACTCTTTTTCTCTTTCTCTCTTCCCCACTGTCTCTCTCTTTCTTTCCTCTCTTTCTCCTCTCTCTCTCTCTCTCTCTCTCTCTCCTCTCTCTCTCTTCTCTCTCCTCTCTCTCTCTCACTCTCTCTCTCTCACTCTCTCTCTCTCACTCTCTCTCTCTCACTCTCTCTCTCACTCTCTCTCTCTCACTCTCTCTCTCTCACTCTCTCTCTCTCACTCTCTCGATCGACCCGCACCTCCCTTAACCTGTCCCAGCTGAAAGCTTGGACAGAAAACTGTTTCCAGAGGCGTAGCGAGGGTGTTTCGCGCCCGGCGACAAGATTCGCGCCCGGGGACAAGATCCATTTTAAAGCCCCCCTTTTTCCTTTTTTCAACTCTCAAACCCATTATTTTCATTAATAAAATAATATCAAAGCACATTTTGGCGCCCCTCACTAGCTGGCGCCCGGGGACATCTGTCCCCCCCCCTGCCCCCACCATGCTACGCCTCTGACTGTTTCTAAGAAATAACATGACGTGGCGACTTCGAAACGAGAGGTTTCTGTTGATTTGAACGGAAATTTCCGTAGGGGTAACGGGGGAATTTTTTATTTTACTATTAGCCTTCTGGTGACTAGGATCAATACGTTACTTAAGGCAAACCTTCACAACAACTTTAGTACTTGACTTCACTTCTGGTGACTGAGCTTTAAAAAAATTGTTTAACAAGATTTAATCAAAGGAAGTACATGTATTTAAATTTTAAAATACTTAGTTAACAAAATCATAGATTTTTCAAGCAAACATCACCTGACCAAGTATAAACTTATTGCAGGCACTACCCCCAGTCTGTGAACCAAGCGTTGAGGATGTCTAACTATTTCTATGACACCACATTCCCACCAAACTATCGATCCGCTTATGGAAGAGATTTTAAAAGGGGCGTTGATGCACCCATCGAATGGAAACGCCCTTCTGTGAGTAAATTTCCTATACGTGTAATGTTTTATTGTAAGATTATTGTCTGAGTTATACATCGGTGAATGGAACACCATGTCTGTTATACCAATGAGGGCAATGACAAGTGTGTAATGAAAATCCTTAAGTAATAGGAGTATAGGTTTAATGATTATTTAAATGTTAGATTTGATAGCAGCGAAGCGCCGCCAATCATGTGACAACAATCTGTTTTGGTACTTGTGGGTTATAGTAAATATGTCAAGGTATTTGTATTTTGTTCTTATCATACCGAGGTTTTAAGAACCAGTTTGGCAGAATAGTTACAATTTAATAACAAGTTTGGCAGAATAGTTACAATTTTGTAACCAGTTTGGCAGAATAGTTACAATTTTATAACCAGTTTGGTAGAATGGTTACAATTTAATAACGAGTTTGGCAGAATAGTTAAAATTTTGTAACAATTTTTTCAGAATAGTAACAATTTAAGATCATGTTTTGTAGATTAGTAGCAAGCAAACAACCAGTTCGCTTGAAGCTGCTCCAGCATATTGATGCACGAACGTGAGTTAAAGATGTGATGGAGGTCTGTGTGATAGGTCTATAAGAAAAGTCTGTGAGTTTGGACTTTGTGAAATGTCCCAAAGAAAAGATCTGTGAAATGTTTTTGTGTGTTTCAAGGGAAGGCCTCGGCCCCAACCTGTCACCATCTATCTTGACATTGTAGTGATGAGTACAATACCATTCCCCGCAGTGATTTTGAATGGGGTAAATCCAAGTGTTAGATAAAAATCACGGGATTCGTAAGTAATCCACGGCTACAGATGTCACGCAGATAAAAACATATTTGATACTTGATATACTCGCTCTGTTACTGACAGTTAACTGTATGTAGATCTGATTACAACTGTGACGTCTAAGTTGATTACTTTAACTCTACCCTACAACTATACTCTTTCAACTCAACCGTCTAACTACCATGAACTTCCTCGACTGTCTGCATTTCAACTTCAGTGTCCCGTACAATTCAAGATTTCTCCACCTCCTATTTAGCCCAGGAAAAACAATTAGTTAACATTGCCCTTAATTTATTCATTACCCATCTGCCTTATTTCCGGACCTCTCGGCCTGGAATTACATTTAATATCATTAAAACCTCTAGCCAAAGACCCCCAAACTAACCCCTTCACTGCCTTTACTAACACTCGACCGAAAAATAACACCCCAGCTAAGACGTCTAGTCCTTCCTTATAAAGAAATAATATTTTCCCGACTTCTTGACTGTTGATGGGACATCCTCTACCAATAAACTAGACTGCTACTGACCACCCAAACTGTCTCTTCAAGCATATGCAGTCACTTGTTAAAGGGGTAGCAAAGGGGTTGACAGATGATGGAATATGCCCCCCCCCCGCCCCCATCCTTTTGTATCCAGACTAGTGGCAGGGGGCCAATGTGTACTTTTTTTATTCTGTTTATGAAAAGAATTCGTTTATATAGGGGGTGGGGCATTGTGTAAAATGAATAAATCTTATCCTGTTATCTTATTCTTCTAACAATAAAATTAACGAAGCCATTTTGCTTTAGATCAGTAACATTTTGCTAACCTCTGACCTCGTCCTCTCACCGCGTGTGCTCTAACAAAGTAATCTCACTCCTAGATCCCCACTCTGAATTATCTTGATAAAATTACATAGAATAAGACTTGGCCTACAAGCTACCCTTTTCCCACATGAACGAAAATGGGGAACTATTCTCCCTCCTTCAGACCCAATCATTTTTTCCACTTCATTTGTCACTTTAGATTCTAAATTTTGAAACTTATCAGAGTTAATAAATAATTTTAATTTTAACAACAACAAAAAAATGATTACCAAATAATAGCTGTGAAGCTCTCCAAGAAACAGTTGTCATCATAATCATTTCCCTTAGTCCTTGTACCGCTGGGGCGCCACAGATGACATGTAAACTATCCTCCTCCGTTCGTCTCTGTTTTCTGCACTACGCACAGCATCGCCCAGTGTTAGTCCTGTCCACTCTTTGATGTTATCCTTCCATCTTTTTCTATGTCTTCCTCTTCTTCTCCCTCCCCTCGTTGTGCCCTGCATGATTTCTTTGGCGAGCCCTTGTTTTCTTGTCACCTGTCCATACCATTCCAGTTTGCGCTTTTTTATAGTCACCAGGAGGTCATCACACTGCCCATTTGCTTGACGAATCCTTTCTTTCATTTGCTCGTTAGAGATATAGTCTCTATAGCAGATTCCAAGAATGCTTCTGAAACATGTCATCTCCATCGCCGTTATCTTCCTCTCAAATTCTGCTGTTAATATCCAGGACTCGCAGGCATACAAGAAAATGGAGAGGACTAATGAGCGCATCAGCCTGATTTTCTTGCTGGGGGCTATATTTTTGTGTCGTTCCATATTTTCTTGAGCCTCTTTAATGCTGTTGTGTTCTGGGCATTCCTGGATATCAATTCGGGCTTGGAGTCCTCTACTGTCTCTAATCATCTCCCCCACGACCTTAATTTCAGTTGCGATGCCGGTGGTTTTATGTGTCATCAATTTTGTCTTTTCTGCACTGTTTTGCACGCCAAAAGACGATGAAGTCTGGTTGAGGCGCTTTACTAGGTTGGCTAGCACTTCTCCGTTTCCAGCCAGTCCATCTATTACATCTGCAAAGCTTAGGTTGGTGATTGTTCTGCTACCAATGCTGACTGTCCCTTCATGCACTTCCAGAGCATCTGACATAATTCTCCTTAAGAAGATGTTGAACAGGGTGGGGGAGAGCAAGCAGCCTGTCGTACTGCAACCGTGGTCTTGAACCAATCTCCGATGTTATTGTTGAAGAAGACTGCACTAGTGACCTTATCATAGAGGTTGCATTTCATTCTGGTTAAGTTTGTGTTGATGTTGTAGTGCCCCATGGTGGCCCATAAAGCAGCATACCAAACCCTGTCGAATGCCTTCTTGAAATCAACAAAAACATAGACATAGACGTCGTATAGACATAGTATTTTGATGTTTAGGATCTGCTCAGTGTTTCCACGTCCTTGCCTGAAGCTCGCCTTTTATTTAGCAATTATTCTGACGGCATATGGTCTTAGTCGGTTCAATATGACCTTCAGATGACCTTGCTTGGGAGGCTTAGTAGACTAAAGGTGCGATCGTTTTGGCATAGTTGTAGGTTACCTTTCTTGGGGAGGGTAATGATAATCGATTGGGTCCATGATTTGGGCCATTCCTCTGTCAGCCATATTTTGTTACAAATATTGAATAGATCTGTTATGAAGGACGTGTTTACGTCACACTTTCCGCGTGCCGTGAACTCTGGTTGACCCCAAAATTAGGCTGCTTTTCGTATTGGGCGTGGCCTGTCCCTTTCATCTTAGCGTGTTTACTGCCACCACCAATGAAACATAACTAATCTGTTCTCATTTTATGTTGTGGAAAGTTCGCGATTGGACTAGAAAAGTAAACAATGTATAAGTATTTTCTAGAATGCGTCTTACGCTGCATATATAATGGGGCTCAGAGAACATTGGAGAGATTGGACTGATACATATTTTCACTTCACGAGGCAAGTGTATTATTTTGTGTGTACTCATATGTGTTTATTCGCATTCCTCATTATACTTTATTAATTGGCACATTGTACTAACTGTGTACCGGTACAAGACATCTTGGCTAGCACTTCTCCGTTCCCAGCCAGTCCATCTTTGTAAGTTGTAATTATATTTCTTCTTTTTTTGTAATTATATTAATACTTTAAAAAAAACAACTTACTAATTGTAATTATTACTGTTTTGAGTGTCATATTTTTGTTTGTATCTTTCTCTATGGTATCGTCCTTTGTTATGCACTGTTTGAACGAGCCATAAAATAAAAATAAGAGATTAAGTTCTCACAATAGAAGGAAGTGCGTAACAGGGGCACTTATCATTGCTTCTCCTCCTTGTTTCATCAACTCTCCAGGGATAGTATCCACTCCTGTGGCCTTTCCTATTTGGTGTACTTGGATTGCTGCTTCTAATTCTGCGTGGAGAATAGGGTAGTAATCATTGTCCATTGCTGCAGGGACATTTAGGATCTCTTGGTCTATCTTTATATTTTCCTTATACAGCTCTGAGCAGTATTCAGTTCATCTTTTTAGGACATCATTTTCCTCTGTCAAACATTTACCATTTTTATCCTGTATGGTAGTACTACGCCCTTGTTTTGCAGTGGTTAGTTCTTTCACCAACTGGTATGCTTTTTTTTGCTATCGTTTTTCTTCAAGCAGTTTTAAATGTCGTAGCATTGCTCTTCAATCCAGTTCTTCTTTGCCCTTCTCATACCTTTTTTGATGGATTGGTTAACTGTCCTATTTTTATTGGCCCCCTCTGTATCTACCATCTTTGTTTTCTTTAGCTGTCTCCGTTTATCACACAGATCACGAGCGTCAGCTTTCACCCATGGTTTTCGGGTTGGTCGATTTTTAATTAAGGATGTAATGAGCGGTGTCCGTCACAGCTGTGTTGAATTATCAATCAATGTGTCCATGTCTGAACATTCGGCATCTATAATGTTAAGCGCTGCAAATTTTCCTCCTATTATTGCTTGGAAAGCTTCTGCTACATTAGGATCCTTCAGCTTTTCAAGCTCGATTTTGTTTCTGGTATATCCCTGTTTGTTTACCCTCTTTAAGTGCAGCCTAAAGGCCATCATGACTAGATCGTTGTCACTTCCAATTTCAGCTCCTGGAAAGCTGTAAGTCTTGGCAATGTTTATACTATACCGGAAGCGTGTTTGCAAAATGATTTAGTCAATCTGGTTGTGGTGTTTCCCATTGGGGCTGTGCCATGTGGTTTTCCTGAATATTTTATGTGTACCCAATGCGTTGGCCAGTATGAGTTTGTTGAAGCTGACGAATTCCAAGAGCCTCAGACCTCTCGTTTAAAGTTGGGTTACAGAGGCGTCCACACGTCCCTTTCCAGTTTGCATAGGCATCTTCTCCTATGTTGGCATTCCATTCACCTTGAACGACAAGAGCGTCTTTCTTTGGGGTTTGGGTCAGAACATCCTTGGGTTGATGGTAAAGGTCATCCACTTCTTTGTCATTACAATCTGAAATTGGTGCATACGCTTGTACGATGGTGATGTTGAACAGTGTTGCCCTGAGACGAAGATTGATGAGCCGGCTCGAAACTGGTCGACAGCTCATAATACTGTTCTTAATGTTTTTATGGACGAGGAAGCCAACTCCTTGTTCGCGTGTGTCCTCCCGTCCACTAAAATACAGTATGTGGCCTTCTTGAGTCGATTTTTCTCCAAAGTTTTTCAATTTCATTTCACACAGACCTAGCATTTCCCATCTGTATCTGCTCATTTCATGAACTAATTCCTCCACCCTGCCCGTTTCTCTCAGCAATCTCACGTTCCAGGTACCCAGTATAATGTTATTCCTGGCACTGATACTGTTGTTGTTTTTTTTTTTGCTGACCAGTAGTATAGTTTCCACCTCCGAGCCCATCAAAGACTGTAGACACTGCCCTTGGTAATCCGGGCGACGGTCGAGCCGGTATGGATTGTGAATCTGTTCTCATGTACATGTAGCGTATCTAAGGTAGTTGTCGCATGGCGGCGCCCACCCCTCTCCATGCCTAGCCACAGCCGAAGACCTCCAAGTAGATGGTTCGCCTTGGACACGAACACGTGGCCGTTCAAGTTCGTCTCGGAACTCTTGCGTCTTGACCGATAACCTGCATCAGGGAGGTTTTACGCCCAGTTGTGTCGTGTTAACACCGCCCACTCATATGGCTTAGAACTAGTTGTATAAACCTTTAAATGGATTTAGCCTTCTTTTTTTTTTTTTTTTTTTTTTTTTTTTACATCACAACGAAATTGATACATATTTTGTTAGATATACATCCTTAAAAAAACATTCCACGCATGAAGATGATTTATTACAACAATACTTTTTTGTCTTAAAAATTATGATATCTCATCAATTGCAGGAGCTTGTCTGGCAACCAGAGTTTGTTGTGGACGGAGCGACGAGTCATGACATGGACCAAGGAGCATTGGGTATGTCATCTACCGATTTCAAATTAAGGCCCAGAAAATTTGCTAGTAGTTTAATATCTGATCACAACACCCCCCTTCACCATACACCTGCTTATAACTTATCATCTATAAGAATGTTTATTGAAGTTGATCCATCATTTCTAATTTATCCACACTAGGGAACAAAGCTATTTTATTTAGATTTGTTAAAGTACAAAAATAAGCGTAGACGTTCTTTTTAAATAAAGGTACGACGGCTATTATAATATCAATATATTGATTCTCAAAGTGGGTGGTAACACCTCCAGGAAGCATCAAGTAGCTCAAGGGTGAGCTGAAAGGCTCGGAAAATTTATGGTGGCGCTGGGATAACTAAAGGGTCAGCTGACAAAATAAAGAAGTGTTTATTGGGTTTTTCACTTTTAATTGTGTATGGTAGTGAAAAATAAAATTCTGTCTTGATAGTCAAATTTAAATAAAATTCGATGAAAGATAAATGCACACGTTGAGGTGCTATGAACTGTTGACATGTGAAGTATACAAAAGAGCTGTCTAATGATCCGAAAAGTGTCAAGTGTGTGTTCCAACGCTTCTCAACAAAACAGAGACCGTTTGCGTTCTGTACTTAACAGATCAGTGTTGACTGCTCGATGTGAAAGTCAAAGATAATCGCTTCGAAATCATCCTAATACAAAATATGATAGGTTGTAATCAAAGTTTTACGTAAGTCACTTCATAATATAACTAACCTTATAACTATCAGCACTAGAAAGACTATGCTGCTTTAGGCTGGGTGTTTGGAAGATCATGACTGCTGAAGTTAGTTTGCTGGCTATCAGACTTGGTATTGCAAGCAATTTAACATTCATTTAACATAAAGATTCCATCACTTCTGCTCTGTTGACTTCCAAATCACAAGGACGCACTAAACTGATTTAACATTTTATTTAAAAGGATTTTCATTTTAAGGAAATTGGATAATTTATTAAAATTGAATCGCTTCCCTACTTTGGTATCACAATGAACACTATTCAAGTGTTGCAAAACTGGCATATACGGCAGGTGCACACATTTTCACATTTCTAAGCCAAGGGATAAATAATTTATATCGAAGAGGATGATGTGAGTGATAAGCTAAATTCAGCTAAAATTGTGTTTATTTGATTCCGAAGTTTAAGCAATTGTACCATTATTCCTGGCAACTCGTTGAACATACCTTATCGCTACCCTGTTTGATGGAGATTTGTGACAATGGCTCTTTTCTGCATGCTGAACAATATGTTTGGTGGGAAATGTATTAAATGTGTTCATTAATGATTTGCTCCGATTGGGGTGTGAAAACGATTCTGGGTTGGGGGGAGGTCTTTTTATCCTTTTTATAGAGGTGTGACATTTTAACAGGCGGCAGAGTTTTCTTCTTTGAATGGAGTCGCGGAAATCTTGGCCCGCTCCGATTGGTAGGAACAATAACTACGTCACAAGCTACAAGGCAAAAAATAACTATTAATTCTTACTGTACTGATATGAGAATGAGTGACATTTAAACATAATTTCAAAAACGGGTATCCCTTATCAAGCTCAAACATTGCATTGAAAAATATTTAATGAAAACGATATGTAACAAAAATGTGTGCTAGTTATGTGTCCTAATTTAAAAAGCTCCGATGCTGCTGTAACAAGTTAGTCAGGTGTTAAAAACTAAATTTAACTCTACTTATGTTATTTTAATAACATTAACGTTTAAAACATAATATTATGTCATGCTTGTAAACGCATTGTTTTGGTGCGAGGTCGACAGGGAAGTGTATGTGGGGGGGGGGGGTGCTAAGGACATTCTGTACAGATGGAGTGGGATAAAGGAAAACGTTAAAGAAAAACTATCATTAACGTTTAAAACATAATATTATGTCATGCTTGTAAACGCATTGTTTTGGTGCGAGGTCGACAGGGAAGTGTATGTGGGGGGGGGGGTGCTAAGGACATTCTGTACAGATGGAGTGGTATAAAGGAACACGTTAAAGAAAAACTAACATAACTAACACTGTAAAAGGTATTTTATAAAATATATTAAAAATTTTAAATCACAAAAAGTTAATTTCATAACTGTTGACTTTCAAATTTCTAAAATTTTAGGAAACTGTTGGTTCATAGCGGCTGCTGCAGCCCTTGCTACTCAGCACCCAGACCAGTTTAAAAGAGTTGTTCCCCTTAATCAGACCTTCCGCCCTCCACAATACACAGGTGAAACACAAAGTCTAGGACGCTTTTTAAAAGTCTTCGTTATTCCTAAAATATTTTCTTTAGCGGCACATTTCGATCCACAGTCATCAAAATAATAATCATAATGAAAATGATGATAGTCTTGGCAATAGTCCATGCTTGTTTCTTTTAGGGAAGTTCGTGTTCTATTTTTGGTGGCAGGGGACATGGAGACAAGTGGAAATTGATGACTACCTTCCCACAAACAATGGCCGGCCGATCTACTGTAGGAATGTGCGGAGACCAGATGAGTTTTGGCCTTGTCTGTTAGAGAAAGCGTATGCCAAGTAAGATTGAAGCTACCTAACCTTTTTTTTTTTTAGAAAGGTTTATTTAAAAGTGACTTTTTGGACTACTAACTCTAGATACAAGACGACTGGGCGGTCATCAGATTAAAATCAGGAGTGTTTGTTATTGGCCAGGAGGTGAAAACTGGCCGCGGAATGACGTCAAGATCGTTTGCAATGTTTGTGCTGATAGTCGAGTGTATGTATTAATTACTAGATTTTTACCAGCGGCTTTGCTGGCGTGGAGTCGTGTTTTTGATACAGTGGTTTTAAAGAAAGATACGTTGTTTTTTTTACAAATTATTTACATTTCAATATCTTAAACTTTCTAAAAAAATCAATTCCAAAAACCTTAACCCCATCCAAGGTATTTTGGGGGGAAATTGTTTTTAAAAACCCATTTCCTTATTCTAAAAGAAGAATTTCAAAGAATTTTTTTTTTTACATCAATAGCAAATTCGATGTTTAAAGATCTAGATATGTTCATTGAATGTACCCCCCCCCCCCAAACCAACCCATCAAACCTCTTTTTTCCATGCCGACAAATTGTGTTTTCGGATAAACTTTAAACGTGTATTTCCAGATTTAAAGAAGAATTTAAGATCCAATATTCACGTATTTACAATCGATATGTTATTTTAACGTATAATATTATATATTGTTTCTTTCAATGCAATATAGTCGCGGAAAACGCCGTTTCTTTAACATGGGTGTAGCCGTAGCGACTCGAAAAAGGATGAACCTGTATGTGCTTTTTGAGCCGGTGACTACCTTAACTTTTATTTTGCATGCCTTACTCAAGACTGAATGGCAGCTACGCAGCATTGGAAGGTGGTTTAGAAGGTAAAACACTGGATCAGGCACTGGTCGCCCTGACCGGGGGCAACCCAGAAGTCCTGAATCTACGAGGACAAACCAGAGGATCACCCGAGCTGTTTGAGCGATTGTATTCATACAATCAAAGGAAGGACGTCATGGGAGCTGTCATTTACGTTAGTTATCTTTCTTTAGCCGTCAAAACATGACAACTCATTGTGAATATTAATTAAATAATGTATTTATTCATCAAAAAATTACAACTAGTTGTCAATGTTGATTTAAGTCATTTCATTTATTTTAAAAGAAATAATTAGTAATTAGCACATGACCGCCAATCACGAAATGTGTGTATCATAACTATCCAGTAATGTCTGTAACATTATATCATTGTCGAATAACATATTGTTTAAAAATATCTAAGGAGAAAAAAAAGAAATTGAGGATTATAATTAATTTCTTACTGACTAAAACAAAGGTACTACTTAGTTATGTTGTGTGTATTTGTTTCTTATATATATATATATATATATATATGATTAAAATTAATATGTATAACGTAATTGAAACACACTGGCGTTTATTTAATTAATTCCAAAAATATCATCTTATGTTATTCAATATTTGCTCTTATAAGACTTATTAATTAGTTATCCTATTTCTTTGCTACAGGGAGGGGCAGCCAGGGCGAGTCATGTCCTTAATGGCCTTATAAGTGGACATGCTTACAGCATAACTGGCTTTCGTCAGGTTTGTAAGCTTATAAATCCTGTTAACCATAGTTCAATTTCTATTGAAAATCTCTATTATGATTCTGTTGAACTGTTCATGTAACTTAAGAGCGTTTTGATTTGAAGGCAGAACATCTAATCAGCTGTTCCTCCACTTCAGGTCGAGTTATTTGGAAGAAAGGTCAACTTAGTACGCCTGAGGAACCCCTGGGGTCGAGGTGAATGGCAAGGAGCTTGGTCAGACAAGTGAGTCCTGGACATGTCATTAGATTAAAAAGCTGCTGAGGGGTTTATTAATTTCCAATTATTTTGTGTTGTATCATTGCGTTCACGGAGCAATGCGTGCAGATTTAAAATATCTTTCATTGTCTTATTTTTTGGTATTTCGGCTTCTACATTTCTTACCCACTGCTTGAACCATATGAAACGCTTTATCTATATAATGGGGTTTAGCCTTTAAAAAAATAAAAAAAAAAAAAAAAAAAAAAAAAAAAAAACAATTTAAAAAATGAAAGCACTACAACGTGATAGTTTTAAAGGTTTAAAAAGTACGTTTTTTGCTATAAATTAATTTTTGATATTTTATTTAAAACTTAAAAAGCTTTAACGACACTTTGTAGTTATTAAGATGAAAAAGGCGAATGGATACTAGCATACATACTCTGGTTGAGGAATGAAGCTACGGCTAGTACATTGTTAACAAACTCTATTTTCCTGGCTGTGCCATATAACATTGTTGTAACCTAAGACTCAAGCCACCCTGGCCTCTCTCGAAACATTCAGAGCATTCAGTTAACAGATGAGCTAGTGCGGATCATTCAGTCAACAGATAAGCTAGTGTCTCCGAGGTCAGCGAGGCGTCAGAGTACAAATGAATAAGATACTAAATTACCCTATAGACTGATCTGACGAACGTACAGTTTTTATACCTTTCAGATGAACATATTTTGAAACTAACAATATAAACATACACTGACTTAAATATTGTCATTGTTCCGCAGTTCACAGGAGATGAACGCCATGTCCATGGATCTAAAACGAGCTTTGCTTTTCGAAATTAAAGATGATGGAGAATTCTGGTAAATTTTGTGTCATACATATTTCATTACATAAAAGTGCTAATATAATATGAAAAAAACAATAACCCATAATGGGTACAGTTTCATCAAATAGCTTAAGATATAGTTTCACTGGAGTAGGTAAATCTAATATAATTTGAAAAAAAAACAATAACCCATAATGGGTACAGTTTCATAAAATAGCTTAAGATATAGTTTCACTGGAGTAGGTAAATCTAATATAATTTGAAAAAAAAACAATAACCCATAATGGGTACAGTTAATTAAATAGCTTAAGATATAGTTTCACTGGAGTAGGTAAATCTAATATAATTTGAAAAAAAAAACAATAACCCATAATGGGTACAGTTAATTAAATAGCTTAAGATATAGTTTCACTGGAGTAGGTAAATCTAATATAATTTGAAAAAAAAACAATAACCCATAATGGGTACAGTTAATTAAATAGCTTAAGATACAGTTTCACTGGAGTAGGTAAATCTAATATAATTTGAAAAAAAAACAATAACCCATAATGGGTACAGTTAATTAAATAGCTTAAGATATAGTTTCACTGGAGTAAGTAAATCTAATATAATTTGAAAAAAAAAACAATAACCCATAATGGGTACAGTTAATTAAATAGCTTAAGATATAGTTTCACTGGAGTAGGTAAATCTAATATAATTTGTAAAAAAAACAATAACCCATAATGGGTACAGTTAATTAAATAGCTTAAGATATAGTTTCACTGGAGTAGGTAAATCTAATATAATTTGAAAAAAAAACAATAACCCATAATGGGTACAGTTAATTAAATAGCTTAAGATATAGTTTCACTGGAGTAGGTAAATCTAATATAATTTGAAAAAAAAACAATAACCCATAATGGGTACAGTTTCATAAAATAGCTTAAGATATAGTTTCACTGGAGTAGGTAAATCTAATATAATTTGAAAAAAAAACAATAACCCATAATGGGTACAGTTTCATAAAATAGCTTAAGAATAGTTTCACTGGAGTAGGTAAATCTAATATAATTTGAAAAAAAAACAATAACCCATAATGGGTACAGTTTCATAAAATAGCTTAAGATATAGTTTCACTGGAGTAGGTAAATCTAATATAATTTGAAAAAAAAACCAATAACCCATAATGGGTACAGTTAATTAAATAGCTTAAGATATAGTTTCACTGGAGTAGGTAAATCTAATATAATTTGAAAAAAAAACCAATAACCCATAATGGGTACAGTTAATTAAATAGCTTAAGATATAGTTTCACTGGAGTAGGTAAATCTAATATAATTTGAAAAAAAAACCAATAACCCATAATGGGTACAGTTAATTAAATAGCTTAAGATATAGTTTCACTGGAGTAGGTAAATCTAATATAATTTGAAAAAAAAACCAATAACCCATAATGGGTACAGTTAATCAAATAGCTTAAGATATAGTTTCACTGGAGTAGGTAAATCTAATATAATTTGAAAAAAAAACAATAACCCATAATGGGTACAGTTAATTAAATAGCTTAAGATATAGTTCCACTGGAGTAGGTAAATCTAATATAATTTGAAAAAAAAAACAATAACCCATAATGGGTACAGTTAATCAAATAGCTTAAGATATAGTTTCACTGGAGTAGGTAAATCTAATATAATTTGAAAAAAAAAACAATAACCCATAATGGGTACAGTTAATCAAATAGCTTAAGATATAGTTTCACTGGAGTAGGTAAATCTAATATAATTTGAAAAAAAAAACAATAACCCATAATGGGTACAGTTAATTAAATAGCTTAAGATATAGTTTCACTGGAGTAGGTAAATCTAATATAATTTGAAAAAAAAAACAATAACCCATAATGGGTACAGTTAATTAAATAGCTTAAGATATAGTTTCACTGGAGTAGGTAAATCTAATATAATTTGAAAAAAAAAACAATAACCCATAATGGGTACAGTTAATTAAATAGCTTAAGATATAGTTTCACTGGAGTAGGTAAATCTAATATAATTTGAAAAAAAAAACAATAACCCATAATGGGTACAGTTAATTAAATAGCTTAAGATATAGTTTCACTGGAGTAGGTAAATCTAATATAATTTGAAAAAAAAAACAATAACCCATAATGGGTACAGTTAATTAAATAGCTTAAGATATAGTTTCACTGGAGTAGGTAAATCTAATATAATTTGAAAAAAAAAACAATAACCCATAATGGGTACAGTTAATTAAATAGCTTAAGATATAGTTTCACTGGAGTAGGTAAATCTAATATAATTTGAAAAAAAAAACAATAACCCATAATGGGTACAGTTAATTAAATAGCTTAAGATATAGTTTCACTGGAGTAGGTAAATCTAATATAATTTGAAAAAAAAAACAATAACCCATAATGGGTACAGTTAATTAAATAGCTTAAGATATAGTTTCACTGGAGTAGGTAAATCTAATATAATTTGAAAAAAAAACAATAACCCATAATGGGTACAGTTAATCAAATAGCTTAAGATATAGTTTCACTGGAGTAGGTAAATCTAATATAATTTGAAAAAAAAAACAATAACCCATAATGGGTACAGTTAATCAAATAGCTTAAGATATAGTTTCACTGGAGTAGGTAAATCTAATATAATTTGTAAAAAAAAACAATAACCCATAATGGGTACAGTTAATTAAATAGCTTAAGATATAGTTTCACTGGAGTAGGTAAATCTGCACGCGAGTAAAACAAGTTTCACCATTTGTCTTATTGTGCCTTACAATGTGAGTTCTTCTTGCACTTCCGGTGTTTCCTACAAATCCAAAATAGTGCCTCTGTCGGAAACTTATATTGTTCACTCTGTTTGTAGCATATTGAAAACTTGTCAAGACACATACCACATAACCACATATGATAGTTTTATGGATACATTGAAATTTTAGTGGTTTTATTCTATTTTTTAAATATATTTATTTCGTAGGATGAACTTCGATGATTTCATTGCCATGTTTGACGAGATCGCCATCTGTCATCTGTAAAAGAATACAACTTACAAAAGGAACTAACAAAAACTCCATTGCTCTAATCAAACTCGGAAAGGGAATTTAGTAGTTGATGTATAGCTGTTTAGAAACTGTATTTTGTATGTAAAATTTCCGCTCGGGATGTAACGGCTCATTAAATATCATGGATTCGTATTTCCTGTAAAATTGCAATCAATTTAACTTAAATTGTATAGAGTTTTGTTGCAATTAACATCTTTCCACTGTCAAAAACAAAAAAAAAAACTTTCAGCATTTCAACTATTTAAATTTTAGAAATCTCCTTTAAGGTGCAATTAGAGCATGACTTTTAAGCTAAGTAATGGTGTTAATTACAAATAGAATGATAGCTTCATGCTTTAAAAAAACATAGTTATTATTAGCATCAGTGTTTCTTTTTCCCTTATTTATTTTTAAAGCTTAGAATCCAGGAGATTTTATAACAATTTCAGTTGGGGGGGGGGGGGTTCTTTATGAATACATGTGTGATCGTATTACCTGCACCTGCTCATAACACGAGAACCTAATGAGAGACGATTTTCGCCAGTTTTCAAAAGAAAACACAAACAACAATGTAATAAATAGGAGCAGCCAATGTTTTTTTTAAATAATTTATTTTGACATTAGGCAAATAAAATTCTGAATTTCCTAAACGTTTTAACACGCGACACTGCTTTTCATTCATTTGAATGACACCTTACACACTTCCGAATGACACCTTGCACTTATCTGAATGACACCTTACGCACATCTGAATGACACCTTACCCACATTTGAATGACACCTTACAAACACCTGAATGACACCTTACGCACATCTGAATGACACCTTACCCACATTTGAATGACACCTTACAAACACCTGAATGACACCGTGCACACATCTGAATGACATCTTACACACATCTGAATGACACATTACACACTTCTGAATGACATCTTACACACATCTGAATGACATCGTATACACATCTGAATGACACCTTACACACTTCTGAATGACACCTTACACACATCTGAATGACACCTTACACACATCTGAATGACACCTTACACACTTCTGAATGACACCTTACACTCATCTGAATGACACCGTACACACTAACGTCTAGATAAATGCGTCCCATATTAAATTTTTGAATGCCCATTTTGCCAAAAGCTTCCAATAAACTACTCCCTGGTTAAAATCAAATTTGAAAGACGTAAGATGCTGATATCTTGATTTTTGTACTGATATCTTGATTTTTGCACTGATATCTTAATTTTTGCACTGATATCTTGATTTTTGCACTGATATCTCTTGATTTTTGCACTGATATCTTGATTTTTGCACTGATATCTTGATTTTTGTACTGATATCTTGATTTTTGTACTGATATCTTGATCTTTGCACTGATATCTTGATTTTTGTACTGATATCTTGATTTTGTACTGATATCTTGATCTTTGTAAACATTCTACACTTATTTTCTTTGTCATGAATGTGAATAAAAGAGTTTGTGTGGACGAAAGTCAAATATTCCATAATTCAATGTCTAGGCTGTTTTCTTAACATATTTAAATGTGCGTAACAAAGTGTATCCTGAGTCCATTTGTCAATATTTTTTTTTTGATGTTTTTTTTTATTTATTTTTTTGTTGTTGTGTTTTTTTTAAAACCAAAATTCCATCTCATATCTTAACATTATTCATTTTTAAGGCCTGTCAGTTAAATAAAACGTTTCTGTAATTTTACTTTTTATAATTGCAAAAATTTGAGATAACGCTGTACAATGTCTGTCTTAAATTAAACAACGGTATTCACTAATGCAAGCTTGTATTTTTTTAAGAAATTCTTATACTCTTTAAAAATTAAAATCATTAATCAGTAAAATTGAATCTTTCGTCTTAACGCACCTCTTTTCACGGCCTAATCTCTAACACTAAAATGCTTATTTTTATTTTTCCACTTTCGTTCTGGAAATTCGTTTTCAATTCTGATATTTAACGCGTGCGATGCCAACACGTTCTATAGGAGTGTCATGTGATCGACAATCTGTCATTTGTTTGCAGGACACACTATATTTGAATTGGTAAGTATTTCCAATCTGATCTGTGATCTGGCTTGATCACCCAGTTACACCGACTCTACGAATCCGCCCCTGGCTAAAAAAAATAAATTCCACTCACACTTACACACATGCGCCCAAAACATTTATTTATATTGACTTTGTGTTTACAGCACGCTGTGATCCTACTCCCGTGACCAAGCTGGTTTAGTTCAACTTTAAAAGTGAATGCTATAGAATCTTAAACCGTGGATCTATTAAAATATATTTAAAAATCAAAATATGGAGATACTTTCTTTTTTTTTTTCTTGTTTATTTTTACGGCTTAGAATCCAGGAGATTTTAATGACAATTTCAGTTGGGGGGGGGGGGG